GGCATGCCAGTTATTTTCTATACAGCAAAAGGGGGGGAAGAGAAAACAAATACTCAAACTCTAATGGGAAAAATACCAAAAATTCTATTACATGTTAAAGAATTAACTGAAGATCTGATTTGGGGCAGAAAAAAATAAGAGTTACAGTTAATTGTTTTACTAGTTCATTTATTATCATCGTATCATTTGCCTAATCTCTTCCTAGACAGCATGGATTCTGAGTAAATTTAAACACATCTGAAACAAATCTTATAATGCAACAGGAAAATTACTTCAGACTATGTTATTCTCAAATAAGTAGAGGGAGCTGTAAACTATGGAACATGTCATTCAGGTATTACACTACTTAATCCATGCACATCATACTGAGGGCTTTACTTGCTTTGTTTCATCCCACCTTCGAAGTTGTGTGACGATGTTCTTACCTCTAATTCAATCCTGAAACAGATAACTCATCAAAAGACCCAGGTCTCTTTGATCTCAATTACTATGACAAGATGCCATCGAGCCTGAAAAACAAGCCTAACTGTTGCAGTTTGAATTTGGTACTCTACACACAGAACGAAAACCCAAGAACTGTTTGAATCAACAAAGAAAGCAAGCAAGTAACAGGAGCTTTGTTCCAAAAAATCCTGTTCCAGCAGGGAGTAGTAGCACATAACTTTAATCCCAGTATTTGAGGCTAAAGTTTGAGGCCAATCTGGTCTACATGAGTTTCAGGACAGCCAAAGGTACATTTTTTGAGGCATTATCTAACAAATGGAAGCATTCTGTCACACGCACTGGGGAGCCTTTCTTACTCACCAATAGCTAAGGAGCTGCTTTTTATCAAGAGAATTACAGGTTAATCCATGTCTGCCATAAGTCTTCAGGGCTTCAATGTTGTAAACAAAGAAAAAATCCTTCGCCTATTTTTTTTCCTCTATGTAGGCAACTTATCCTCAGTGGGTCTCAATCTGGCCTGGGATTCAATAAACTTTTTCAACATTAAGATGCATTTTCTTAGCCGGGCAGTGGTGGCGCACACCTTTAATCCCAGCACTTGGGAGGCAGAGGTAGGCTGAGTTCAAGGCCAGCCTGGTCTACAGAGTGAGTTCCAAGATAGCCCAGGCTGAAACCTGTCTCAAAAAACCAAAACATAAATAAATAAATAAATAAATAAATAAATAAATAAATAAATAAATAAATAAATAAATAAATGTACTGACTTCTTTATCAGTCCTTATATCTTTTCTATCTAGAACTCCTATAACATGTAAGTTTTTAAAAATAATATTGATACTCCTAGATTAACCTTATTCTTCAGGATTTCCACATCTTAACAGTTTATATTCTGGTCTGCATTTGGGGATATTTTTCACAGACCATCCAAACTACTAGTATGTTCTTTACACAGACACAGACACAGACACAGACACAGACACAGACACAGACACAGACACAGACACA